CCTGAGTAAGGACGTGGCTAGGAGCCATTAAAGATCCATGTTTTGCACTAACTGATGCATATAATGTTCACTGCCTCTTTGCTGATATTACAAAAGGAAAGCTGTTTCTTAATGATGCATTTTATTTGTCATTATCACTGTCACAAGGATCATCTAATTCATTTATACTGCACTTGTTGCTGTAGAATCTAGATGATGGTCTTCAAGGCTAGTCCTGACAAACAGAATGTGCAGTGTGACCGAGGCTCAGGGGGCTACAGTTGTGCTGTGCTTCTTCAGAGCCTCAGCAGAGCTCACATCACCCAATAAATGCAATGTTCTGCTCCGTTTCTGTGCCCCCTGAACTCACTAAACTGAGTTCCTTAGCACAGGGACTGTCTCTTTAATCCTCAGCATTCCTGCACCACGCATATAATAATCGCTCAACAAATGTTTCTAGAATAAGTGCTGTGTTTAGTGATTGCAGAATAAAGAGGAATAAGACATAGTCCCTAACCATGAGAAGCTTCAAGTCTGTTAGTTACAAAAATAACACTACCAGCGATTACACCAACTAATGCTAATCAAGGGCAATGTGCTCGATACTGAGCTAAGTGCTTTGCATGCATGCCTCATTTAATGATCTTGATAATTTCCTCCCACGTTGTATACTATTACTACCCCATTTTACAGATAAAGGAGGCTGAAGTCTGTGGAGTAAGCTAACGTCACATCATTTGAAAATGGTAGAGTCAGGTTTTGAACCCAGGTCTGCCCGTTATAATGCATGTTCCTAACCACTAAAGTAATACTATGTCTATAAAGGCAGGATGAATAAAAGGTGGGGCCACTTGAAACCAGTGAGCACCTACTGTTCTCTCTGTTTTTTTCTCTAGGCTAGAAGAAGGGCCATAGTAAAGGAAGTGTCTGCATCTTTGCTAAATATAGAGTCAAAAGATGGAAGAGCTCTGCTCCTCACAAGTTTGTTTTATGTTCTCCCAGAATGTAAAGAGAAATTGCAGAATGTCATTGAGAAATGGAGATTGGGGACTGCATCTGTAAAAACCGTGTATACTTTGTACCTTGCCCCAAGCAGTTCTTTCTCCTTTGTCAGTTTCCCCATAGAGACCTGAGCAGAAGCCAAAGGAAAGGACAGCACAGAAGTGACAGCCCCAAGGGAGGTCAAGCCGCTGGGAGGGTGGGGGGACGAGCTTCACTGAGGAGAGAAAAGTAAAGTGAGCTATTCCATGAGGCCTATGGCCAAGTGGGTAACAGAGACCCTGGCATCTGGTTGAACATGAGAAGCTTTCTCATCAAGCCAAGGGTGGGATTTCTGGAAAGGACCTAAGGAAGGAGCCAGCAACTGCTGAGAGCTAGAACTGTCCATCATGAGTAGACTTGCAGAGCTGTGGCAAATGTTAATGCTCAGCAACCAAAGTGTGTGTAATGATCTCCTTTTTCACTCAACAAACAGTTTTCATGTGTGGATATGTGTAGATATGCTGTGTATATGCACTGGGCTAGGTATGCACTTGCAGGGAAACCATGAAGGGAAATGTTCCCAGTAGGAATCTCATGTGGAACACAGACTGGTAAATTGGCAATAGTGACAGTGTTGAGAAACCTCCCAAAGGGGCAAGCAAAGGGAGCTCTGAGATTATAAGGAAGACAAAGTCACTAAAGAAAAAGTATTTGTTAAAGATCATGACATTTGTTAAAGATAATAGGAGAGACTTTATTCAAGGGGGGCTACTGCAGTGGGGTTCTGTAATAAGAGAGATTTGGCGTGACTGAGTGCAAAAAAAAAGAAAAAAAAAAAAGGAAATTTATAGCCAGGAGAAAAGTGTGGGTCAGTGAATGGAAAATCACTAAGAGGAAACGTCAGGAGTAAGGGGGGTTCTGGCTAACCTGACCTAATGGGTTCTTACTGAAGACAGACCATTGTGATTAGACGTCAGATGGAGGGTGATGGAGGATGAGGAACATGGTCAGATATCAACTCTGATCAGATATTGAGGCTGGGGATTCTGGCTAAACTTGACTGAGCAGGATTGTTGGTAAAACTGGACAACGCAGAGACAAAGTTGGAAGTCCAACAGTTGAGGCCTAATTGGAAAAGAGCTCAGAAGAGCCTGAGTGGAGTTCAGCCAAGTAGGGGAATCTTTGTCAGTACCTACCCCATTCCTGGCTGGAAGGGGGCAGAAAGCTAGCTGAAAGCTAAGTGGGCATGGAAAAGGTGAATAGGATTCACCCAGCTGCAGCAGGGGAGTGGGAGCAGTGTGTCGGAGGGGCTTTTTGGAAATGAAAGAAGAAGCATGGCTCAAAATCAGGAAGAGAGAGCATGATATTTCTAGGAACTACAAGAAACCTGGTCCAGTGTGTGCTTGGAGGGAGAGGTGGAAAGTGGCGAGAGATGGCACTGGACCAGCCACCCTCAGAGTTTGGACTTCATCCTGAAGCCAGCAGGGGGCCCTATCATTGGGTTTTCCTTCCAAAAGAGGATCAGAAGCTTTTACAGGGCTGTCTTGGGTGGGTAAGGTCACATCTGCCAACAACAAAAAGGATGCCAACTCTGAAAACACCTGTTTCCAACACGCAATCATCTTGCAGGCAGATCCAAAGGAAGCACTTTGGCCATCTTTCTCTGGCCATAGAAACAGAGTCTTGGTGTCCTGATATTATTAAAACCCTCATAAACTGAGAAGATGTATTTTGGACTTGAGAGCATGTCAAAAATCATATAATTTTTCCAGCCTAATTCTAGCTCACTGGACTCACCTTAGTGGCACCTGAGAATTCCCTGGGAAATTTTAAAAGAAATATCAATACTTGGGCTACCCTCAAAGATCCTGATTCAGTTGTCTGAGGCAGAACTAGGAACTGGTAGTTTTTAAAGATCCCTAGATTGTCCCCTGTGCAGGCAGGGTTGAGAATCTCTGCAGAGCAAACAGCCTAGCCACGTTAACTCCTGAGAAGGAAATGGACTCCCCTGGCCGTTCTCCAGGTACTCCAGCCGACAGTCTGGATCAACTTTGCATACCTTCCTGGCAGATCTTCAAAATCTGCCTGTGGCAACTGCTGAGACCTCTTCATGCCCCACTCCCCTTTTACAAATAGATGCAAAAGAACCCTGTTCTGAAGCCAACATAAGACATCCAGAGAGGGAGGGCGACCTCACCTACCTCTAGGCACTTAAGGGGATCAGCCTCATCTCGCTCTCTGGGCTGGGTTGTCCTGCAACGCTAAGGAGCTTTGTCAAGGATTTGTTTTTCCCCTGGATTTACCCGGAAACTCCAAGCAGGCCTCATTAGCACATTACTCACACTCACCCAAGTCCCACACATCACCTTCCTCCTCACCCCCACCTCCAGATCTTTTATTTTTCTCTATTTGCCCATTTATTCAATGCAGTTGGCTTTTGTTCCCTGTGCCCTGAAAAGCACCTATTTGGAATGGCTATGCCGCTGGAAGAAAAGCAGGTGGCTCCGGGCTGCATGGTCCCAGCCCATGGCCCCTCGTTGCCCTCCCCATGAAATGCTGTCCATCTGGAGCACTGAGCAACACCCCTCCTAAATACTTCGAGTCACTGCCCTGTTTCAGTCCTTTCACACTGAGACAGCAAATCATTAACTCAAGCCCCTGGGTGGTTTCTTGCAGCAATTAACAGCTGCCCTGGTGTTAATTCCCAATCAATAGCCCCTCAATCCTGCTGCTCTTACAGCTGTCGGCTTCTGGCCTCCACAGCACATTTTGAAAGTAACTCGGTGGGGCAATGAGACTCTGTTCCTCCTGCACTCCCCGAGGAAGCCCTCACCCGGCTTCTTGGGGACACCAAGTGTCCCAGGGACTGGGTGAGTCGGCAGGAGGCTCCACCCACCTCTTTCTTGTCAGATGACAACTTGGGAGACTGACAGAACTAACTCTCCTTTGCAGTAGCAGCCCCTTGGGATATTTATGATGCTTTCATTTTCCTATTCTGGCTTTTTTAGAATTCTTTTCTTTTCTTTTTCTTTTTTTTT